CAGTTCAGGGGGAACATCGGGAAATTCGGTGTCGAGCTCAAAGGGATCCTCCGGTGCAACATCAACAGGTTTCACACTGCCTATGTCCGAAAAGGGATCGAATGTACCCAGTGCTTTCTGTCGTGGACGACTTGCTGGATTTCGACCCTTGAACCGCCACTTCTCCCTATAGCTGCCGATCTGCTGAAGAACCTGGTCCTCCGCCTCTCTGGAACAAACCACAATACCCGACAACGAAGCATCCGAAGCTGTCAACAGGCTGCTTGTCTGTTTTCGCAGGTCTGCTGAGCAGAGCGGTAGCAGCTGGCCAATCCACTTGGCTTCAACCGCTGCACTGCACCACAGCCTGCGTTTGCACTTGTCTGCATGTTGAACGAAGGCGTACAAATGATTTGGAATGCTAAGCAACTCCCTCGATCTTCAGCATCATGAAGTGCGCTGCATGTCCCAACAACCGCTGGACTGCTTTGCCTGACACCCAAGGCCTCCTTGATAGCCATCGGAACGCCATCCATCAGCCCTCGATGAAGTCGTTCAGGAATTGGGGTCACCTGTCCAATGTCTCCATCAATCAAATAACCCAAAGACTGTGAGGTAGTGAGCCTCCATCTCCTCATGCACTATCAGTCCAACACTTCTCAACCGGGCGACTGCTTTGTCTTTTGCGGCCTGCACGGCATCCGCATCGATTCCGCAGACGTTGAGATTGTCCGCATAGGGCAGCAGAAGTACCTCTCCACGGCTGAGGTCTGGAGCAGGTTTTCCATCCACCAGAACCCTATCTTGTGTAAGACCAGCTCCAATCTGTGACTGGTGTTGGTGAACTCTTTGTGACAGCCACATTGCCCACGACCATCCCATGGGCACCACTCGAAGCATTGGGTGAATCCAACCATCACGGTCGAGGGAGCCACCTTGTTCGGCACTCACCTTCCAACGTCCAACCAATGCACTGGGGACCGGTGGAGTGCTCATGGAAAGTACTGGGAGTGAATGCCTGATCCCTCATATCTTTCAGCAGCTTGAGAGCCGTTGGGGGTCCAGTGAGTTGGATCACTCGAAGATCGTCCACCGATATGCTGCAGCCTTCACAAGGATGGAGCCCACCCCTGCAGGGACCACGCCACGGTCTCCTACGCTATGGTATCCAACTGGGAGGCTACCCAAGCGTCAACGGTCTCTGCCACGGGTGCCAAAGGGGCGACTCCGCCAGCAGGGGCTGCAGGAGCAGCTCCCAGCGAATATGGGGGACGGGCCGCCGGGGCAACCGCTGCCGGAGCAGCAACTGCATGCAGGTGCGGCAACTGGTGCAGCCGCTGGTGGTGCAACAGGAAGACCCAACGACATGCGGTGTGCGTCAGCCAGGATTTGTCCTTGCATTCTAAAAGCTCCCAACTCCTGTGGTGTGAGAGGATCAAAACCATACACTGTGTTTGGGTCAATGTGTGCAGGAATGGCTCCATTCTCCCCACAATAAAAGAATCCCGTCAAATCCCTGTTCGAATCCGACAACTCCTCAATGTAAACATCGTGATCTGGTGTTAGAATGGCCCACTGAAAACCTTCAGCGTCGGCCAATAGGGCACTCACACACAAGTTTCGGAGTTGTCGGCATTTCCACATGCACCATGTGCACTTGTCAGATAATCTTGGCATGGTTTTGGCTGTAGACAAGGGTAGAAGCTCTTCCCCACAGTTGATGCGTGTGTGCCGTCGAATTGCGTGTTTGCTGATTTGCACAGGGAGCAGTTTTACATGTCGCTGGATTCCTAGTGGACTGAACATAGCAGATGGGGGCTCTAGGTTCTGGGAACATCTCCGGCGAGGGGAAATTGCTTCCCCAAAACATTGTGACAAAGCAGTCCGGCAAGCAGAAACGAAAACCGTTCGTGATTGGACATGGCGCCAGACAGGCTGTGAGGTTACAACTACAGGGAAACGACAAACAGGAGAGAGCTTCAACACGACAGGCTTTCAAGCAAGAGGTGAGCAAGATTCAGAGGTTTCCGGGCCAGACCTTTTTGGAAATGAACGCAATCTCCGAAGAATTGGCCTCGGATTACAGGATCAGGATGAGCAGGCTAAGATCTTTTGCAAAGATGGAGGGCCTTTCCCTTCGCGGCCAGAAGAACTTAGACAATGCCTTGAAGACATCGGCGAGGCCACGAAGACACTGGCCGCTGTGGTGGATGCTTTCCCAGACTGTGCGCCAAAGGGGAGCCTCCCCCGAACAAGGAGGTGTTTGCAAGGTTGGAACAGGCTAGATCCGGGGGCCACAAGGCCACCTATTCCATGGGAGTTGATTGCGGCATTGGTGAACCACATGTTGAGCAGAGAACAGGTCAGCGAGGGCATCATGGTCTTGCTGATGTTCGATGCCTACCTCCGGCCAGGTGAGGCCATCAGCCTCCACCGGTCAGATCTGGTAGAACCAGCAGTGCAGCACCCTCATTTCTGCCTGAATCTCAACCCTTCCGACCGGGCAGCAACTTCAAAGATGGGGCTTTCAGACGAGACAATCATCCTGGACGGACAAGAGACACCGTGGATGGGACAGTTGTTGAGACATTTTTTGACATTGCGCAACAGCCCAAAGATGTTTCCCATCGAGTATCGGCGGCTGAAGGACGCGTGGCAAAAGGACTTGGTCGCATTGCAGTTGTCGAGCGGGCACTCCGTGCTTTATCAGTTGAGACATTCTGGTCCTTCCCACGGCCGGATGACAAAGACCAGGACATTGGTCGATATCAAGAAGCGTGGCAGGTGGCTCAGCGACTCTTCAGTTCGCCGTTCCAAGCCTCGGCTGAATCAGGAGCTCCAGAAGTTGCCAAAGAAGCTACAGAGAAAGGCATTGGAAGCACCAGCAATTCTAAATCAGTGGGTCCAAAGATTTTTCTCCCGGAAGAGAAGAAGGATCTAAAAGTTTGGGCTCTCGAGATTTTCAGTGGAACGGCGCACTTGAGCAAAGCATTGGTCCAACAAGGTTTCCGTTGCGCAGCATGGGACATTGAGTATGGGCCACAGTGTGATGTTTTACCGCCAGGGGTGCTTCGCAGTCTTTTGAAGTTTCTTTCAACTCATGAGGTTGTGTTGGTTTGGTTTGGCATGCCTTGTCAGAGCTGGACACGAGCACGTCGTTGGGATGGTGGTCCACCACCCCCCCAGGGATGACACAATTTTTCTCTGGGGGCGCAAACATCTTTCCAACTCAGACAATAGCAGACTTGCCCTTGGGAATGTTTTGCTTTTGTGGACTTGTGTTATGGCAGCATTGTGCATTGAACTTCACATTCCTTATGTTATTGAAAATCCAGGCAGTTCACGTTGTTGGTTGACAGCACCTATGCAGGTCCTACAGAAGAGTTCACAGCTTGCTTTCGTTGACTATTGTCAGTACGGAGTTCCTGAGAAAACAAACTGGGTTGCTCATACATGGCTTTTCAACATTGGCTAGCGCCTTGCGTACTTGTACCCTCATACGAGGCCGGTGCAGTGCCAATCACAAGCGGCGCATCATTTTAACCGGAAAGGACAGCAATGGTATATATTGGAGTCACAGGGCCCAGCCCTACCCGCACCTACTTTGCCAACAGATTGCACTTCTTTTGGCCAGTTCATATGGTGGGTGTGGGAGGTGTTGACTTGCGTGTCGATTCGAGAGACACATCATCCAGACGCTTGCAGATGTCGTTGATCATGGATTGGCCCCAAACGGGGCA